CTTTCGTTGATATTTGTAAATATGCGTGAAAATCTAGTTTTTACTGGAACGTCAATAACAAGTTCGTGTGATTATTAAAAGTGGGTTGTTTGTGCTTACGTGTTTATTTATACTAATGTTATTTTTTGCCTTTACAGTGTTTATACTAGAATCTTAACTGTATTAAGGTAATAGTGTTATTGTATTCAAAATAAGTTATGTTTTGTTCTAAGGCAGCTCGAGCCCATAGGGAGAAGTAAATTAGTTGACTAAGTCGTAAGATTTTAACCCCTGTCATAGAGAAAGTTAATATGTTTTCATTAAATGATATGGGATTTAATCAGTTCGCGGTCTTGAGTGATTACACGACCGTCGCAAGCTGATTTGTCAACCCCATATGGTCAGGTCAGGTCAGACAACGTTTATTAAGAATGAAATTCAGCTGGTGGTTTACACTACGGTAGGGCCAGAGGGGAGGGGGTTATAAGGATGATGGAAGCGTGTAGGGTTGTAATTGTGGCAGCTACAAGTCTCTGCCGAGGTTGGCCGTCTTCAGAAAGTCGACCAGCGATAGGAGGATGAGGCTGCGTCGTTTTGAGTCTCCTGCCGGGTTGACCCATTCGTCGAGTGTTGAAGGTTTGTCTTCGTGGTTGAGCGCTCCCAGGGCGTCATTGCGTTCTTGGTCGAGCTTTGAACATTCCCAGACCAAGTGTTGAGTGTCTGCCCTGAGATTCTCTAGGCAGTACTTGCACTGGTCTGGTTTTGGTACAAAGTCCGGATTCGTCTTCTTTTTAGCGTCCGCACATTTCTTCGTTATTGATGGAGTGACTGCAGCTCCTGCTTGGAGTCTTCTTAGCAGGACGGATTCGTGTCTTCGGAATCCCTTGGGAAGGCTTTCCCGTGCCACGTCTTTGTGCTTGTCGATATTTTTCTTCAGAGCGATCCTGGCTGCTTTAATTTCCCAAAAAGGGTCGTAAAAGCCGCCAGGTTCGCTCTTTGGAGACTCGATTGGTTGTGACATTTGTGGTGGATTTCGATGGGTTCGAGAGGGCGCGGGGGCTTCGGAGTGGCATTGAAGGCAGCGGAGGAAGGAACGAGTTAACTCTCCTGCTGCCTCGTTGGCTATCTCGTTGCCCTCGATCCCTTCGTGACCCGGGATCCAGCGTACCGAGGCTCGGATGTCGCGCATCCTTAGCTTGATGGCCGTAGTCGTAATATTTCGAATCGCCTTGCACGTTTCTTGATGCGTCTTCAGTGAACGGATGGCGTCTTGGGAGTCTGTGAACATGATGATGCTCGTGCCGCATTGGGCTTCTTGTCCTAGCGCATTAAGGGCCTCTTCAATGGCCGTGATCTCAGCCTCTTGCGCTGTTCTGCAGTACGGTGCATGTTTTGTGCAAGCAGTTTTCTTGTTTTCAACGTACCACGCAAGAGCAGCATTTCCTCGTTCACTGAAGGCTGCGTCGGTGTAGCAGACGATGGTATGTGAGTCGTTACATTCGATGATGGCTTTTACTTCCTCGGCGTGCTTCATTGCCTTGTGTCGCCGTCTTTGTTTTTTTCGCCGTTAATTTTTCGTGGTATAGGGGCCGATTGGGCTATGTCGATTCTCTCCCATGGTGGTAGTTGGCACGCATTTGTGTAGTTCTATCAGTCTTGTTTGTCTCGGAAGACCCGAAATACATCTTCCAGCGTCGTTCATCAGGGTTTCGAGACGGGCCCAAAGATGCAGTGTCAATCTGTAAAAGCGACAGCCATACATGACTTTCGGTATGAGTGCCGCTTGAACTATCGTTCTGGCAATTCCCTCACCTGCTCCGCCGTGTTTATTCGCTATTCTTCTGATGATCGAGGTGCCGTGTCTCCATGTGTCGCGCATTCTTTTGATCCATTTGTCGGGATTGAGTTTGGCGTTGACGTGGATTCCGAGGATGGTGTGTTCGTCACTCTTTTCTATTGTCTGCTCGTCGAATTTTAGAGTGGGGTTGGTGTTGTCTCTTTCTCTACCAAATATCAGGAGTTTAGTCTTCTCTGCTGATGGTTTCATGCCTACTTCTTTTAGGAAGCTCTCTATGATGTGAAGTGCTGCCTGCAGTATTTCGACCTGTTCCTCTTTCGTGCCTCGTGTCGTCCAGATTGTGATGTCATCTGCGTATATAGTAAAATGGAGTGTCTCTACCTCGTCGAACCTCCAAGCTAGCGGTGCCATCGCTAGATTAAAGAGCGTGGGGGAAAGGACAGAATCCTGCGGCACTCCAATGTCATTGCTCTTTGTGCTACTTTGATCTTTGCCCACTTTGATTACGTATCTTCTATTTTTGAGAAATGTCTTGATTAAATTAAGGGGTCTTCCTAGGATTCCTTGCGTCTCCATGGTCTTGATTATTACGTCATGTGGTAGCAAATCAAACGCTTTCTTGATGTCTACAGCCACCAACATTCTCGTACTGTGGGCTTCGGGGGTGAATTTCAATACTGTTTCTCTAAGTAGTATTAGACTGTCGTGCGTTCCCAAGTTCTTTCTGAATCCCGTTTGGGCCGGGTGGTACGCACCATTCTTATCCGTAAACCAATCGATCCTAGCAAGTGTCATCCTTTCGACGAGCTTGCACAGTATCGACGTCAGGGATATTGGTCTTGTGTTTTGAGGTTTGTCTGGGACTTTTCCGGGTTTTGGTATGGGTGTGACCCACGACATTTTCCAGTCCTCTGGCATTTCACCTAACTTCCAGATGATGTTGATCTGCTCCAATAGCGCCGCTCTCGGACATTCGGGTAGGTTCTTTAACATACTGTTGGTTATTTGATCAGGGCCTGGTGCACTTCTAGTCCTGCCGTTTGCAATTGCTGCTTCAAGCTCCCAGACGGTAAAGTCGCAGTTGTAGGTGTTGGTCTTCTACTACTGTTGGGGTGTAGATTATTGCGTTCGGCTTGGTTGCAGGTTGAGGGAAGAAAAGTGGGCCCGTTTCTCCAAGTACTTCTTCTAGCGTTTTGTTGTTTCGTAGGGCTATATTGGATGTGATACCCCACTCTTTCTTTTTTCCGAGCATAGAGTTACAAATACTCCACATTCGTGTTATTGACGTATGCTCGTTAAATGATTCGCATAAGTCGTTCCAATTGTCGATACATAGCTTATTGGCGTAAGATTGTGCTTCCTTTGCAAGCTTGTTTGCCTCAGTTAAGTCTTTGCGATTTCTGGATGTTCTATATTTGTCAATGAATTCCTGTCTGTGTTGCCAGAGTGAGAAAAGGTGTGTGTCAGGATTTGGGCCATCCGCGTTTACTGCTTTCTGAATTGTCGCTTTTACAGATGCTTCTTTCATAGCGTGGGTTAGTTCGTCTATGTTAGTTATGTGGTATTCTTGATTCAAGATTGTTCTGAAATCATCCCAGATGATGGTCTTGCTGTTTCTTTTCAGTTTACGTTTGCTTCCGAGTTCTAGTGTTATGTGTATTGGCAAATGATCGCTTCCCCATGGGTCATTATTATCGCATTTCCAGGTTAATATAGACTTTTGTGATGCAAGGGTTAAATCGGGTGTTGTGTCTTTCTGTTTGGGCCCTTGTCCGAGCCTGGTTTTAATTTCGGGGTCATTCAGTAGGTTGAGCCCTGCTTTTTCATATTCTTCTTGAATTTTGACGCCTCTCTCATTGGGTTGGTCTTGTCCCCAGTCCGAAGCTCGGAGCACGTGGAGCGAAAGCTCGCTCTGCAGAACCCAGGGATCCTGGGTTCGAGCCCCACCCCTGCCCGTTTCGATCTGGATGAGCATCGTACCGGCGTGCGGTCGTGTATTACTACTGCGTGATGCACGTTAAAGACCCCAGGCTAGCGGCTGGACCGCACTGGCTAAATTTCTCATCTACAGCTGGGAGACTCGTCGCCCCTGTGAGGCAGACCAAGTTCTAATCTGTATAAACACACACACAACCCAATTTTTTTTCCCCAGTCCGCGTGCCAGGCGTTGAAATCTCCCCCAATTACGATGTGGTGCTTGGGATACGTGTTAACAAAGTGTGTTAGCCAGCTGTGCTCGTCGTTCGTGAAAAGTGCTGGTCTGTAGTATACCGATATGAGGATGATTTTGATGTCGTTATCTGTTGTGCGGACTGCTACTATTTGTTGGGTTTGGTTGCACCATTGAGTAGTGTCTAATTGCTCATAAGGCAGTGGTTTTCTTAGGTACACCACTACTTGGGCTCGGACCGTTTCTTTCTTGCCTCTTTTGTGGATGATTGAGGGTGATGTGAAGCTTCTGTATCCTCTAAGACCGATGTTGTCCCCATTTATTTCTTGTAATAGTAGTGCATCTTTAGGTTCTTGTTGCAGTCGTAAATTAAGTTCCGCCCTGCGAACTCGGAGGCCCCGGCAGTTTCACTGGAGAAAATCGAGTGTCTTAGTCTTCCGGGAATCCCTAGGGTTGAGACAAAAGGGTTGAGACAAAAGCTTTGAGCGGTTTTGGTAAAAGGATGTTCTTCCTCTAACTGTGCCTTGGTTGTGCAGGGCAGTAGCCATCCTCTTCCATGGAGACACACTTGCCACATTTGTTGCTTTGCTTTTTGTCTGTGTCATTGCCTGTGCTCTTCTTTGTAGCTTTGCGTCCGTGCTTTTTTTGGTCTCGCAGTTGGGTTCGAAGGCTGTATGTCCCGACACATGGCAGTTAGGGCAATACGTATCTTCACATTGTTCTCCTTCTGGGTGAGGTTCACCACAACGCCTACATCTCTGCTCTCTCGTGCAGACAGCTGCATTGTTGTACTTGCGATTTCTGGAACTGCATAAACATGATTTGAAATTGCTGCATCATCTGCTGCATCTGTTGCTGCTGCTGTATTTGTTGCTGAATTTGTTGGTGTAGCATTTGCTGTGTTTGTTGCGTTTGCTGAGCTTGTGTTTCTACGAAGCGCAGCACTTTCTCTTCCCCATCCCGCTTTGGGTAGCTTGGCTAATTGCACAGATCGGCGGGTTTTCTGACGGTGTTGGGTTCTTTGTGAAGGAGGGAATTAGCACCATCGTTTGTTCAACACTCTTCGTGATTGCATCTTGCTTCTTTTTTTTCCAGTTCTGTTTGTCTGCGTTGCTTGGCACGTTCTTCTCCTTGTTTGTCTTTTTCAATTTCCACTTTGAGCTGGGCCACACGTCTTTCAAGTTCCTTTAATTGATTTTCTTTGGCTTCGATCGATGTCTTGTTCGTTGAAGACGTTCTCTTGGCCATGTTGGCATTGGCGTTTGGTAGATCCTGCTTGTATGTCGTGCAGTTGGTGTCGGTGGGGCCCTTCTTGGTACTGCCGGTGTTTTCCAGCGGCGGGAACTCTTCGAGGTCTTGTAGGGTGGAGAAGCGGTTTTGGTAAAAGGATGTCCTTCCTCTAACTGTGCCTTGGTTGTGCAGGGCAGTAGCCATCCTCTTCCATGGAGACGCACTTGCCACATTTGTTGCTTTGCTTTTTGTCTGTGTCATTGCCTGTGCTCTTCTTTGTAGCTTTGCGTCCGTGCTTTTTTTGGTCTCGGAGTTGGGGTCGAAGGCTGTATGTCCCGACACATGGCAGTTAGGGCAATACGTATCTTCACATTGTTCTCCTTCTGGGTGAGGTTCACCACAACGCCTACATCTCTGCTCTCTCGTGCAGACAGCTGCCTTATGCCCGATGCCGTGGCATTTGAGGCACAGGACGGCTGTTGGTTTGTACGTGTATACTCTGAACAGTCTTCCGCGATGCGTGATCTTCCTAGGAACTCTATTTCCATCGAACGTAAGAAGAAATGTGCCTCTCCTCCCAATGGGTCTTGCATGTAGGACATTGCAGTAGTCAGAGTCTGAGTAGTCGACAATGTCTTGTGCTGTGAACTCTGCATCCACGTCGTGTATTACTCCTCTGGGCATAAGGCCCGTGGTGGATCTGTATGTATGGACCCCTACCTCCGTGCCGTCACACAGCGTCAGAGTGCTCATCTGGAGGATGTCTCCTGCGTGCGTCTCACTGTAAACAGTAATGGCTATGGTGTTGTTCCTGTGATTGGGTTCGTAGCTAAGTCGGTCTCTGTTGCAAGGAATTGTAAAAAGCTGTTTCAGTTGGTCCATGAGGATCCGCGATGAGATGTTCGATATTCTGGTTTGCGTCGTGGGTTTCACCACAATCACAATCTTTGGTTCGTCAAAGCGCTCAAGGTGGGTTCCCCATTGTGGTTTTTGCTTTTTGTATGTGACTCGCGTCCAACTGTTTGTCGTTTCAGGAGGAGAACTATCGTTGATATTAGCTATCCTGTTAATCTCGTCGTCGCTGATCTCGAAATTATCGTCCCGGTCCTGACTACAGAATCTTTTCGCCGGAATTATAACCTTTCTTGCGTTGTTCTTGTTGGTTTCTAGCTCCCTGCTATTGTTTTCGTCGTTCTCGGTGCACCTTTCGATCGGCGTTGTTTCAGTACTCGCCATGTTCAGAATGCGGGGTGATGGGCAGGCCTAGTTCAGCCTACCCGGGGTCCGGGCCTACGGCGGCCTCTCGAGGGGAGAATTAAAAGAAAGACTCGCCTACATTTGGTTCTACTGGAAGTCTTTCGATGGGTCACCGTCCTTAGGTAAACGATTTGGGTCAGGGGACCCAGTTGATGGCAGGAATTTAGTGGTGTTAGCGGAGCTGAAGCAAACGCTGCTGCTCCTCATGCAACTTCGTCGTCCTTTTTCTCAACCCCATATATATTCATTTGATCAATATTACAATAATTTTGCAATGTGGCCCGGGTATAATGCAAGAATTCAGCGACTGCACCCGATAACATCGCTTATATGATCGTAAGTAATACTTGTCTAGCTGTGTCCGCGTTGACTACGTCTACCTGAATTTTAACTGATGTGCTTTACTGTCTCCAACCACTGCGTGTCTCGCCATTTTGTCGAAATATATCTGTATAAAGTATACATTCCTACAGCAATAATTGCGTGACTCGATGTTTTCGACTTATTTACGGGCTTTCTTGGTCACATTTTTCTATAGACGTCTAATACGCATTCCTCGTGCCATTTCGTACCGATTATTTAGCGGTGTAATGTTTTGCCCGGGTAATAAAGTGTTTTCTAGTCCCGTTGCTATGTGCAGCTTTCATTTAACTCATTAGACACGCGTATGTGACTAAAAGCGCGTCACGGCGGTCGATCCACGCGCGTTGCCTTCGCTTCGACGCGCGCCCCCGATGGCCTTCCTTTGCTACGTCACCAGAAGAGCACTCCGGCCTTCGCTTCTAGGTGGTGTTGCCCACACTTGCTTTTTTTCTTTCTCTCCCTCGCGCTCCGCGCCTCGAAAAGTAAGACAAAAAAATGAAAGTCGTTTACAACCCCCTGTAGCACCGAATTAGAGCGCAGCTCTTGAGGAGGAGGAGGGAAGTGTACTGAGGGGAGCGTATACCTCTCCTCCCTCCTCCTCACCTTCTCATCTTGCCTGCTACTCCTCCCTCTGAGCCGCGTCGCCGTCGCCGTCGACGAAACCGTAAGGTTAGGCGACCCTCGTGACCTCACGGGGGTCGCGTGACCTCACTGGGTCACATGACGTCAACGGGGTCACGTGACTTCACGGGGGTCATGTGACGTCACCAGGGTCACGGGGGTCACGTCACCTCACGGGCGTCATGTCACCTGACGGGGTCACGTGACGTCACGGTTACGCAGACGGCGACGCCGACGCCGCTCGAGCCGGAAACGGGCGCCTAAGAGCTGCGCTCGAAAAAAAAGATTGTAGAGCTTTATTATTTCACGTCAAGATGGAGGACCAGCTAAGCTGGTCTTTACGACAACTTTACGACACATTTACGACAAATTTACGACAACTATACATCTAAACGATTCGCATATGATTGCAATGAAGACACGTACAGGACTTCGTTGTTTAGTTATCTTTATTTAATTCTTAGTGACTAAAGTGGTCATTGGCTTATGGTCACTATGGTATACCGCCATTGGTTGTGTTTTGACTTCGGATACGTTCTTGCTAAACGTGAGGTCGATAAACGTTCTGTTGTTGGTCGTTGGTATACGTATACCTGTTGGTATACGACTATAGCCAACCGGCAACGGCCAGGCGGCGCCAGCAGGTTGAGAGCGCGCGGTTATACCCTGTCTTGTTGTAACTTGGCAAAGGGTAAACGTTAAGACCCACATTGCGTGCCGAAGGCTTCGAAATGCGCGACGTATACGAGCGCAACGCACACATAATGCAGCATGACGCAGCGAAAAGCCTGATATTTCTCCGGAGTTGAGGCCCGCTCCGGTGATAGGAAGTCACGTTCCGATTGGCCCTCCAGGGCCGTAGCTTCCGCTCTACTGGCACGTTACGCGATCACGGCTTCCTGGGATACCCAGTATTTCTTGCTTCAGACACTAGACTAAGCGGCGCCACCAGGGTAAAAGCTCACGTTCGTGCAATGCAGTCGCCGGGGTACCCAATATTTCTTGTTTCAGTCGCTAGATGGCGCCAAACCAAACAGCATTGCAGGTTGCCTATTGTAGGTTTTACAGCGACTTGAGGTGTCTTTATCAGCGATGCTAATAAAGAACCCAAGTCTCTTTATCAGCATAACGGAAGTAAAAGAAAAGAAGGTTAGATCGGCGCGTTCTGCCCTCAGCCTCGTCACAGCGCACTCTTAGCTGAGATAAGTCGGCGACCATGGATGATCGCAAGGGATAAGGACCGCACTATCTAATAATGCCAAGGAAGGCTGACTCACGCGGGTCACCCCCTCTTTTTATTTATTCTTGCCACGACCAATCGGAACGAAGAAGCGTTGTTTAAATAAGAGTTTTAGGGGCGAAGACCCTTAGGGTCTAGCCTTGTCCGTCCGTCCGTCCGTCCGTCCATGCTTACATAAAAAGAAAAATGTTTGCGCAGTCGACAGGATTCGAACATGTGCGGGGAGACCCCAATGGATTTCTGGTCCATCGCCTTAACCACTCGGCCACGACTGAGGGACGAGTAGGGGGCTCTGAGATGTGGTAGCAACTCAGGATCTGGGGTTTCTGTCATGGACGAAACGTTGCATGCAGCCGCTCAACGTGTATACAGGAGAGGGCGCTGCGGTCAAATGCGTATATAATCGCGTCAAACTTTGCATGCATTAGCTCAACGTTTATAGACGGGAGGGCGCTGCGGTCAAATGCTCAAATGCGTATATAACCACGATCCATACCACACATTCTCTTTCTGACATGGACCGTTGACTTAAGCGGTGGAGATGCGTTCCCACGTCTTCTAGCTGATCCAAGCTGATCCGCTGGAAGAACCGCTGGCTCTGCATTTCACCGACCATAAAGCAGTAATAATGAAGTCGAAACGCAACCCGGAACTCAGCACTACCTGCGAGCAATAAAAAAAATCAGCACCATCAGCACTACCTATGAACAATAAAATAAATATCATGAGCACTACCCGAGCTTCGCCCGAATCAACATCATTCACCACGTACAGATGCGGTCATTTTTTTTTTGTTAGCATTCATGAACGTATTTTCTTCCAGATCCTAGCACATAACAGCTTCGCTGTAAAAATTCGTCCAGTTGTTGACGTTCCGCGCAGTGTTCGGGCCCTAAACTCGTCAAACACGAAGTTAGAGCCGAAAGTTCGCAGAGTGCGCCGATTGGACGTCGGCGAAAAAAGCACGAAGTCATGGTCGTGATAGGCCAATCGGTGCGATGCGTCAACTTCGGCCACAACTTTGTGTTTGACGAGTTTAGGGGCTTTGGACGTGTCGACACCTCCTAGATAACAGATCCGTAGTGCTGATAAAGATGTCGTCAGCAACGAAGGCCAACGCTGAGCGCAGATTGGAAACGACGATTGTGTCAACGTTCAGCTCAAACTTGACTCAAAGCCGAGCGGTGACGCAGCATTTCTTTCCAATCTGTGTCCTGCATTTGCCTTCTCTGGTGACGCAAAAATGCACTATGCCTTTCTCTTCTAGGCGGTGTTGTCTGTGTCCACACAGCTACACACAGTGGCTTTGACTGCGCTTTTCCGCGCGCCGCGCGCCGCCCATATAGATTGGGCGGATCGTGGTGACCCTGGAGCCACTCCAACTTTGTTAGCCGGTTTAATAAACTTTTAGGCAGAATTGTGTCATAATATTTTGTGTTGGCTTTTCAGATGATACGACGTAGGATTGCATTGTTTTCTCACCATCAAATTTGACCGGGGTTGCCCCTTACCCCTTTGAAACGAGACAAATATTGGGCAGTAGGATATTTGTTTTAAAATGCCATTTGGTCTCTGTTAAGTCCAAGGGAGAGCAAAATATATTTTGGCTTGATTGGTTGATGAGATTGGTTGTTATGGCACGAACAGTAATTGCGTTCTAGTATAGTAAATGCAACTGAAGGCAGCCTTTTTGTGTTCAAACTTTTTCAATAAATACACGTGCAATTTCCGCACTAATCTGCAGCTTTATGGAAACTGCTTTTTGTGAACTAGATTAGGGCCATGTTGAACTCCAAAAATGACACTTTTACCGCTTGTGTACTTTGAAAAAAAAACAATTTCTTTAAGCAAAAAAAATAAAATAAAATGCCACGTTGTGCAGCGAATACAGCAACGTGCATTATAGCCATGGTTCCTGCAACGTGTGTACTTCTTAGGATCAACATTCGCTACTTCGGGCATGTGGTCTGCATTTTTTCATGCGAAGCTCGGCTCAAAAAAGAGGGAGTGTCTTTTGTTTTGTTAATATTTCCGATGACGTCTCATGAGAACTCCCTCCCTCCCCTCGTTGAAATTATTTCTGGTGTTGCAAACGCATTCCAAAGGCATTTTCCCGATTTGGAAATTGAAATCGAAAGACTGAAGGATGTCTCTCTTGGGTGTCTCAGTTTGGGTGTGCTTCTTCATGGTACTGAAACCAAATGAAAAATGAACCTTACAGTCCACTTCATGGTTCGAGCCCTCAGACTTAAGTAACCCAGAAGGCGGTCTTGGAGAGGTCTGTGGGGCAGTGTTGCGAGATTTTTGCGGACTCGAAGGAAAAACGTCTGACTCCGTGTTTGTACAAAACGGTTCTGTTTATTGTCCTCTCAGGCGGCAGCGCGGAAGGGACCGAGCGGCGAGCCCCCGCGGGGGCCCTGTTTTATGACCCTCCACTGGGGCTGCCGCGTTCTCATTATTTTCACCCCGCGAGGGAAGGGGCCGCGCTGGTCTTGCCGCGCGAACCCCATTTTTTGCTGGTCGATGTGACTGGCGGTGATGAGACCGCCACAGAGGCCCCCTCCAGTTTCCTGGCGTGTGAGTTGTGTAGCCGGGAGACGATGCGAGAAAAAAAAGAAAGAAACTCAAAGCAGCGGAAGGGTCCATGTCACTGTCCGGACTTCGCGCTGGAGTGATAGGCCGGGTCCGGTATGCGAGGGGGAGGGGATGACTGGAGATGCAGCTGGGGGCACATCGAGAAAGGCGGGTTTGATGC